ATATATATATATATATATATATATATATACATATGTACACACACACACACACACTTAATGCATATGTGTGTCAGTCAGTGGATAAATGAGTGAATGCTTGTCTGCGTGTATCCTATACATACAGGAATGTACACCTTAAGATTTTAAAAGACGAGACAAGAAACACCAATTGTCAGCCGACCCGCCACGGAACCCGGGTTGGAAATACACCCTAACTGTCGATGTCGTCACCATCAGAAATTGACGTCCTTGAAATCGATATCGTCACATCGTTGACTTTCGCACCATTAACACAGCGGCGACCAAACAAGCGTGACACCAGAGATCATTCAGTCACGATCATTTGGCGAAGTTGCAGATCATGTAAGCACATCGTGAAGTTTTATAAATATATCTATTGGACCAAAACCACACAAAGAATTTATTTTCTGGATCACAAATTCATCTATCTAAGCACACTTTGGCGAGTGGATAGGAGTTATAAAAAGTACCTTTGGAGCACGGAACACCTTAAAAGGACCCTTAGCCTATTATGGATCTGCAAACACTACGCGAGACATAAAAGTACCTTGATCGCACACACCAAACTCATAACTTCCATAAGAATTAACCGCCGCATAACTTGACAGGCATTAGAACACCTCACGGTCAAAATTTACATTAAGAATATCAGATACAGGCCTTTTGAGCAGACGAGCAGATTATCCCATCGCATAATCGCCTCGAAGGAACCAATACATATCGAACTCTGAAGAAGCTGACTAGTATATTGCCGTCGTAAACGCAGACAAACACCTTCAGCGCCAACGGGTAGCCAGGTGGCGATGGGTAAGACGCCCCCCGGTTCTGCTCCGTCGACCCTAGCGGTAGTTTCTTCCGGTGCTCCGAGTAATGGCCATCGAAACTACCTCCCCCCCAACCCGGCCCCCCTCCTCCGTCTACTACCAGTCGCCGTAGAACAGGTAATCTCTTGACCTGCGACTGGAAAGCTCAAATTGCGGTTACGGTAGCAAGGGATGAACGACTTTACGGAACATGAGAGGGTGTGTTGGCAGAGGGTTGGGGGGGGGGGGGGAGAGCAATTCGCCCTAGTCTTTCCGAAAAGAAAAGAAAAAAAATCAGTTTGGTCATCCAACGGTACAGTTATGATGTCATATTGGTGCGATGTGGGTACATTCGACACGGTGACAATAATATATTATAGTCACCGTACTGAGGGCGCAAAGTAGGCAGACAAACGGAGCGCAGACTAGACACGGAAGAATTAAAATAGAAGAGGTGATAATAATACATATACGTGTGGTTGCCGCAATAGTACCTGAAGATGGAAGTTCTTAGAACAGTCGATGATATTATGATAGAACAGCCATGTAATTTCTAATATGTAATAAAAATTGACTAACACAAACCAGTTTTACAAAGCTAAGCTTCTGTAGTCAATGAAAAATAGTGTATGTGTACATATATAAATATAAATATATACATATATAAATATATATATATATGCGTGTGTGTGTGTGTGTGTTTGTGTGTGTGTGTGTGTGTGTGTATGAGTGTGTGTGTGTGTGTGTGTGTGTGTGTGTGTGTGTGTGTGTGTGTGTGTGTGTGTGTGTGTGTGTGTGTGTATGTGTGTGTACATAAATGCACATGCACACACACACACACACACACACACACACACACACACACACACACACACACACACACACACACACATATATATTTATATATATATATATATATTTATACTTATACACACACACACACACACACATACTTATATATATACACACGTGTGTGCATACACACACACACACACACACACACACACACATATATATATATATATATATACACATACACATGTGTGTGTCTCATACATAACACACACACACACAAACACGCACAGACATACATACGCACGCGCGCGCGCACACACACACACACACACACACACACACACACACACACACACACACACACACATAAATATATACACACATACACACATATACACATATCTACATACGTATACACACACACATAGATGTCTGTATGTATATGCATATATATATGTATATATATACACAAATATATGTGTATATATATATATATATATATATATGTATATATTATATATATATATATATATATGTACGTATATATATACATATAAGTATATGTGTGTGCGTGTGTGCGTGCATCAACATGTACGCATAAATAATAAGTAACCCATCTATAAATTTCACATTCAAATTTACATCAAATTGATACGCGGATTACGCAAGCACCGAGCAAACAAAGCAGACAAACGCATTCCAGGAGCCTAGACAATCATTTGAAAGTTCAAAAGACACAGACGCTCATTGCGGGGGCACCGGGCGGGGAAGAGGGCGGGTAGGGGGTGGTTGGGGGGGGGGGGGAGCGTGGCATGCCTGAAGAACTCGTATCCCTGAAGGCCGCAGGAGAGCATCAGGCCTGTTCTTGACCTTGGGACATGAATTCGAGATACAAAAAAAAAATAAAAAATAAAGATTCTCACTACGCCTACATTCCTGCTTGTACCTCGTGACCCTTTTGGCTGGCGGTATTTAAACTGTTCGGAGACGCTAAAATTCGTTAAGTCTTGCGATGCATTTGTCTCTGCGTGCGTAAGTTGCCTAATCTTTTATTAATGCGGTGACATTCAAATCAAACCAGTTTTTCCCCTTTCGGCCAATCACGCGCAAGCAACTGTATGATGTTAAGGCATTCTGACCAATTATCACGAGGCGGCGTGTGACATCATAACAAGCCCAGCCAATCTCACGCCACGAGGACATATGACGTTTGCAGGTGCAGGAGGT